CTAAATAGATGTTAATAAACGTAGCATTTGTAAAGATTATAAGCAAGGTGGTAAACTTTGGAGAGGGAGATTACTTATATTGCAGTAAGCAATAAACTAAAAATAACGTGGCATTAGTTGCCACTGTTTACGTCACATTGTCGTAAATGGTAAATGGCCTGTATTTGTATGGCGCTTTACTTAGTCCTTATGGACCTCAAATCACTTTACACTACATTCATAAAATACTACAAATGGAAATGTTTGAAAGCCAAATACTGGCTTGGGTGAAGACTTTTTCTTTCTTTTCTTTTTCTCTCTTTTCTTTTTTTTTTTTTTTTTTTTTTCAGCAGGTTAGAAAAATTGTGATTCCCAGAAGATCAACTTATGATCTTTTGGCCACATTACACACCCATAACTCACACTATTAAATGCCACCTCCAGCCACCCCAGCTTTTCTTTTCTTTCCTTTTGGGTTTTTTTTTTTTGCTTTTTTCTTTTTAAACTTCAATATTGATCTTCGATGCCAGCGCAGAAGCTTGCAGTAATTGAGTCTTATCTTGATGGCTGTAAGTTTAATGAGGATGGTTGTGGCCACAGACTCCCATGGGTTGGTGAAAGGGATGGATAAAAGGGATGCAAGCATGGAGGGAGGGAAGGGGTGAGTAATAGAACATAAGGTTCCCTGTAAGAAGCTGGCCAAACAAATGACTAACTCACACGATCAAAACACGGCGTAAAATCACACAAAGTATGATAATAACTCTGCTGTTATGTCATCTCTCAGTCAGCACACTGGGTTGTTATCAAACAAGGGAGAGCACAAGAAAGACAGACAATTACACAGATAAGAAAATCACTTGCTTCCAGTACTGATAATTATGGTTTTTTCAGACATGCATCCCTTTAATCTGACAGAATCTGAACATTGTGATCTCTTGACTGAACTCATGCCCAATATTACGATCTTACTTGTAATATCTACATATAACTTTCATCATAGCATACGTCCCAATTGCATAAAGGTGAATGAATGGAGAATCATTCATGCGTTTATGATTTCCAGCTTAATTAAATACATTTTTGGAGAATGCACCAAACAGAAATAACATGTAATGAAAGGAAAATTAATGCATAACTGTACAGAACAATAAAAATGTGACAGAAGCACGAATGTTATACCCTTGCCTGATTTTTAAGCGTTGTTTACAATGGCAAAGTCGATACCAGCAATAATAAGGAAAGATTTGTATTTGTTCTCCTTGGATGGTTAAAGTCTCACTGAAACAAATTCCATCTATATTCTAAAAAGCTCGCTAAATACCGAGGGGTTCAGTGGTTCAAAAGAAGGTCAACATCTGTTTTCATTTAGTTTATGCATAAAAATCAATTGCTCATGAGGAAAATGAATTTAATGAGTTCTGATAACAAGTGCAATCCATTTTCCCTTGATACTTCACAAATTGGCCACAAAAATGGCAAATGCTCAGTGACTTTCAGAACATTTTTTAGCTCTGTGCATTTCAATGTAAATGCAGCAGCTTAGGAAAAACACGGTCAGCTCATTAGAGATCCCCTGCTTGTTTGCAATCATCAAATGCTTGCTGAGGTAACGTGACTGAACACCAACAGGAAGTCTGTGCAGCTGACTGACAAGTGTTCAGACTGTCAACCTGCCTCTTGAGCCATCTACCTAAATCTCCATTACTGCACTGCTAAACTGAGAACACTGAGCCAGTGCACATAATGAGGGGAAGTGAAGCAGCGACGCATGTAAATGCTCAAAATATCGAATACTTCTAAGAGTCAGCCATCTCTTCTGTGCTTCCCATGGACAGCCACCAAGGGGCTCAGTGTCATTTGGAGGTGAGAGCAGCATGAGCCCACCACTGAAAATATTACTTTTATTCAATGGCTGTGATATGATTGACAGCCTCGAATTGCTTTGCCCACGACCTTGGAGAACTGGTGCTCAGACTGAAGTTAGCACTTTGTGTGCATTTGAAACTGTGGACTTTGCAGTCAAGCCTCATACTGATGAGGTAATCGCCTCTGCTTCATGTTTTAAACTCAACAGTGTATATTCAGATACAATAAATGTAACAACAGTGAGTGCTGGCATTTCTCATGATGTTCTAATGACTAGGTGAGAGACAGCGTGATGCTGGCACCATATAGATGATTTAAACTGATTCAATTCTATCTGCTGTTAATTATTTGGCACGTACATTTATGCTGACTCATTAACTCATATCATTTTATCAAATGTCTCCCCTTTTCTCTCTATGCTGTTCCTCACCATCTCAACCAGTAACAGCAGAGGCCAAATAGGCTGGTGAGACTTTATTTATTTTTTTCCATCAATTGCTTGCAGTGGTCTCTTTAAAATTCTGGGGGTTTACTTTATAATATAAAGCACTTTGAGATGGCCTTGTTGTGAACTAATGCTGTATATACTCTCTGATCATTTTATTAGATACACCTTACTAGTACCAGCTGGGGCTCCCTTTGCCTTCAGAATTGACTTAATTCTTCATGGCACAGATTCAACAAAGGTGCTGGAAACATTCCTCAGAGATGTCGGTCCATATCAACATGACAGCATCACACAGTTGCTGCACATTGTTAGCTACACATCCATGATGGGAATTTGCCATTCCGACACTTACCAGTCTCAAATTGGATTGAGATCTTGAGACTGTGGAGGCCATTTGACTGCAGTGAACTTATTATCATGTTCAAATAATTCATCTGAGATTATCTGAGCTTTGTGATGTAACACATTGTCCTTCTGGAAGGAGAGATTGGAAGATAGGTAGACTGTGTACAGACTGAGGCCCCAAGTGTGCCATGAAAATATTCCCCATACCATGACGCCACCACCACAACTGTGAACTGTTGATACAAGGTAGGATGGATCCATGCTTTCATGTTGTTTACACCATATCCTAACCCTAATATCCAAATGTCACAGAAGAACTTGAGATTCATCAGAGCAGTTGACATTTTTCCTGTTCATACTATAGCCTCAGTCTCCTGTCCTTAGCTGACAGGAGTGGCACCTAATGTGTTCTGTAGCTCATCTGCTTTGATGTTCAATGTGGTTGAATGTGTATATTCAGAGAAACTCTTCTAATATCTTAGTTGTATTTTCAGACCATTCCCTGTAAACCCTGGAAATGGTTATGCAGGAGAATCCCAGTAGATCATCAGTGTCTGAAATACTCCTGTTGTTGGTAGCAACAACCTTTCCTCCCCACTCTGATGCTTGTTTTGAACATTAACAGCTTGACTACATGTCTACATGAATAAATAAACTGAGTTGGCCATTTAATTGGTGGATTGTTTGGATGGATTTCAACAAGTTGTGCTAACATTGTGCATAAAGTATTATGTTGTATGCTAAGGATTCTGACATTGTGTCTAGTCCACACCCTTCAACTTAGTAAATATTTTGAAATAGATGTTCATTCTGTGTCTTAAAGTTCATGTTATTTTACATAGCAGGGATGGTGAGACAGCTAATACAGTTCAGATTACTTTTGTAAAACGACAAGACAAAACACCAAAAGTGTCAGATTAATTATCTGCCCAACTAATAGTTTCAGCTGAAAGTGGAAAATGAGAAGCAAAAACTGTCATTTAGAGATCAAAATAAAAATAGCTTCTGAAAAGCTAAATTTTTGTGATAAGCAACACTTTGAAAAAGCTGTTTTGTTTGTTTTGTGATAAACATGTGATCTATGGACAACTTCAAAGAAGGACACTTTGAAAGTACTTTGTAAAAGTAAAGCTGTTTAAGACATTACCGTTTTAGGTTACAGGAGTAACCCCAAGTGTCAGTCAGCATGACGAACATTTTGTCTTTCCAGTTTCTCCTACAAAAGATTGTGAAGCCATCTGTAACATGATTTTATTGTCACAAGCTGGTAGAAAATCATCTGTCACAGATACGAGAGCCTGAAGCAAAAGAGCTCTCCCCTCTGTTCTAAGCCCCGCCTACAAAACGCACACAGGTGCTAAAATGAATCAATGCTGAGCCCCAGCTTTACATGTGAATCAAGCTCTGCCCTTTCCAGGTGATGTCACTCTGCTTAATTCATGCCAGATTTTCTAAAGCCCCAAAACACAGCCCGAATAGGAGCAGGAGTCTAAAAATACTGAACCATGACTCCAAATCTGAGATCCATACCAAACTGGGACTTTTGTGTTGTACCACTACTATGTATTTCATTATAAACTCAAAACTGCAAAAGAATACATATGAGTCTTGATGTCCGTGCTTGACTCTCTGTGTTAATGTGTATTCGGTTTCTTTTGACATTGCTTTCTTTCCTCTTCACCCTCATTTACCCTTCTCCCCTTTCTTCCTCTCTCCTTCTGATGCCACATGCAGACAAAACAAACACTTCAAGACACGTGTGTGTCTAAGTGTGTGTCTGTGTGTGTGTGTGTGTGTGTTGTGAAAACATCTATCCTCATGAGAAAATGTCCCAAAGGTCTTAGCCAAGTGAATGTGGGCTGATGAGGTGAAAGTAATCTAAATGGTGCTCATAGCTGCAGAGGCGGCATGAAACCCAAACACAGACACACACACAAACGCAGTCTCTCTCTCTCTGATGGGAAATCGTATCATCTCACACCCATTGAGGCATATGGGCCTTTCCAGAGACCAGTGTTGCTCCAAAGGGAGTGAAACTACCAAATGAGTTGAACCTCCACTGAGAGAAGGAGGTCGCTGCCTTTCTTTTCTTTTTTTTTGCAATCTTCCATCCATTTCTCTCAGGGGTCAGTAATTGAGCGTCAGAAAGTGAAGAAATTGCCACAAGTATTAACAGTCACAAAAAA